TATGTACTTTTTCACTGAAACCTTATTGCTCGTTGGTTACTGATTTTAGTTAATAAGAATGTCAAGAGGATAGAATTAGGAAGAGTTTGATGACGAATAGTCATTTTTGCAACTGTTAATGAAGATTACTGTTTGAGATAAATAGTCTCCTAAACTATCTATAATACACCGTCTCAGAATTATCGATATTAAACAACAACAGCAGAAACAAAATTAATACCAGTGTCTGTGACTACATCCTGTGAAGCAAACAGATATTACACAATCGTGAAATAGTCGTATCTATTTACAAACAAGGCATTCACATATGTACTACACACACAGACACAGACACTACACTCAGGCGCACACAAACACACGTACACACACGCACACAAACCAACTTCATGATCGATTACTTTACACTCCTTCCCTTTGTACATTCCGCTGACGTGGCTCTCTGGCCCTGCTGACACGCTGACACGGCACTCTATCCAGATTTGTCTTTGTAAACGTTTTTATGTGAATGTATATGCTTATTATTTTTGATAGTGTATATTGCTTCACAGGTACAGTCGTCTCCAAAGATTTTGTTTTTGAAAAAAAAATAAAAAACAGTATGTAAACACATGAATAGGTTGAGAATGTAAGAGTGATACGATATGGAAGGATAAAGACTTATAGAAAGCTAATGACAGACAGTTGAACATACAGAAATAGATATGGATGAGAAGGACAAAGGACAAATTTAAAAACAAATTTAGATACACACACACACATACACACACACACACACACACACACACACACACATGCATACATGCATATATATATATAAATATAGAAAGGAGAATAATAAATGTGCACAAAATCAATGCGTTCTATAATGTAAACAAAATAAGGCAACGGTCTGCGGCTCGGCAACAAGGCCGTGAGAAAGCGTCACTCAAGGTCACTGCTACTCCTTCCGAATCACGGATCTGGCAGTCGGTTCTGCGAGTCGCGAATCCATAAAGAAGTTATATATATTTGTATATGTATATGTATATATGTATGTATATATATATATATATATATATATATATATATATATATATATATATATATATATATGCATATATGTGTGTATGTATATATATATACACATATAATATATATATATATATATATATATATATATATATATATATATATATATATACATACATATACATATATATATATATATATATATATATATATATATATATATATATATATATATATATATATATATATATATATATATATTATATGTGTATATATATATACATACACACATATCATATATATATATATATATATATATATATATATATATATATATATATATATATACATACATATATACATATACATATACAAATATATATAACTTCTTTATGGACTCGCGACTCGCAGAACCGACTGCCAGATCCGTGATTCGGAAGGAGTAGCAGTGACCTTGAGTGACGCTTTCTCACGGCCTTGTTGCCGAGCCGCAGACCGTTGCCTTATTTTGTTTACATTATAGAACGCATTGATTTTGTGCACATTTATTATTCTCCTTTCTTGTTCACAACTGTTCGCTATATCATACATACATCCTTCTCCTTCACTTCACTTTGTTATTGTCATGTTTAACTTCGCGAACTTTGACTGAGTCCCCTACGTCTGGCAGCGAGGGACAAGCCATCAGATTCAACACCTTTGATCCTGTCACTTTAATCTGGCTGAAGTTTTACGTCAAAGTACTTTTTTTCTCTACAAAATTATTCAAGATTCCACATTCAATATCCTATTTCATCGTAGGATATAAGGCTGAAATCAGACTTCTTTAAAAATGCATTAAACAAGTTGACAGATATAAACGAACATCAATGTCACTGGGAGAAAAATTATATGTAAGCATCTATCATGAAACGTATCTAATTTCCAAGAAAAAAATTACGCAAACGTATGATGGAAAATAAACCGCTAACAAATGGATATTGATTTACACATCTACGAATGAATACTATTTTTAACCCAACGACTTTAAAGTTTGCAGCTCGTGAGAAATGAAGCTTGCTTGTCTTAGACTTATGCCACAGAAATTAAAGTGCGTAAATACACGCCTTTGGCTCCTGGGTCGTTCTCTCAAGTCGGGTGAGTGAAACGACCTGAACCACAGCCTCTTCGTCAAATGATGGGCATACTTGGAGAATCCGAACGTCTGCTAGGGGATAGCCGTTGCCTTACCATACCGATAGAATGATGTCCGAACGCTCTATTATATTATTTTTCATGTTTTATTATTTTACAAATTGTCCCCGTTTTATTAACGACAAACAATAATTTTCATTTCAAGTACCAACAACTCCCGCACCCACGTGGTTATCATACCCACGTGATTATCATACGACACAGGAAATATCAAATGTAGACTGGATAATGTTCTGTTTTTTCACCAGCGTACTAACGTGGAAAGTTTTTGTGTTGGGTTTCTTTTTGGTATTTTTAGAATAAAGTGCACCTTGAAATGTATATAGTTTATTTTATGCCTTACTAATTGCCAATAGCCAAATATAATAATTTCTGGCTCAAACTGCCAATTAACCCATTGCCGCTGGGGAAAATGAACAAAAAATGGGGGAAATGTAGTACTCATTTTTTATATTTTTGTGAAAAATCTCTGTCCATAGATGGCTCTGCTAGTCCTGATTTCACCTTTCCTTGAATTGGCGGGAGAAAACGTATTTTTACTAGTACTATAAATATAGATGGTGTTATTTTTAACAGAAAATTAGGATAACGTTAAATATTTTCGTAAATCGATGAAAAGGGTGAACGGGCGAGACAGGCAGTACTCGAATTGGCTCATTGGATACTTAGTACAAGTGTAGCCATCTATGTGTAAATACAATCGAACAAGTCGACTCACAGTGGGCATGGCATGTACGTACATGCCATCCCCGGCGGCAATGGGTTAAGAGGATGATGAAATGACGCAACACTTGCCTGAAACACCAGCTGCCAAACTCTAAAAGTCTCACCAGAAAACAAGCTCCGCAAGGAAACCCGGAAAACTAGGCAAGATAGCATGACCGTGGACAGCTGGGTGCGCTCGTCTCCTCAGCTCACTCCTCGGGCGGACAAGCAGAGGGCGAGGCCGTGGTTGAGAGTCCATTAGTAGGCATTGCAGTGGAAGGAGGGCCAGTGGGAGTGGGCGAGGAAGTGGTTGTGTGCCCTTGTGTTAGAATGTTCTGAGTATGTCAGTAATACACCTGGAAAAACAACATAACATAAACAAATAAATTCATATTTATTTAACGCTACAAGTCCACAAACTGCACCGTGGGGCTTGCAGAGCTGGTACCACATCATAAATTATGGAACAAACTCATCAAAACACTGAAAGCCTTCTCAAGAGTTTGTTTTTAAAACAATATTTTCATGAATCCCTTCATTCCTTCAGTTCATATTTTGATAGCAGTTCTTAATCACATTAATTCTTAGCTATTCGGTATTCATTTTCTCTTCATGATTACTACTTCTTTATTCTCACATCAATTTGCCTTAACTCTGCCATTACTTTTATCTTTTTTAAAAAGTTTAAGCAAAATAAATAACCAAAAGACAAAAGAATAAAGGCAAAAATAGAAAAAAACTTGAGCTCTTTAAAGTCTCTATATTAAAGAGATTCAATAAAATGCGTATCACATCCTACGTCGACATAATTTAGACAAAGAAGGGTCAGTGAGTCTGCCGGGCACTTCCTGTTTAGCGGCAAAATAGTCTCGCAGCCTCAGCGCATCTTGCCCCACATCGATTTATTAATAGATGTTTTTGTAGCGAACCACCCTTGCGATGGTTCTGATGCTCGTGATGGAGCTGGCTAGTTTCTGTTTTGATTCACACTTTGTTTAGGATACAAATCATTAATGACAAAATGAAAAAGTGCTTCACGTTAAAGCAAGTCTCAGCTGCACAATGACGAATAAACAAAAAATAAACTGAAATTCACACAGGTCCAGCCAGCTCCTAGGGTCAGGGTGTCGTGATTCGCAGGGGCCGCGGATTACGCCGCTGTCTGTGTGTCCCCCCAAACGTTGTGTACGTAAGAAATCCTAAGAGAAGGCAGTATGATATCAAGTTACATATACCCTCTAGAAGCCTGCGGAGACGCTATAGACTCGCAAAAAAGTATCTACTCTTTCTGACTTAACAATATGATACGACGACGAAAGCGGTTGGAAAAAGTACTATGAGCTTGACCTGATATTGGTATACCAGCCAGGGAGGTTAGCCCCCCTCAAGGTTTGTAGCGATCGGTGATGTTTGATGATCTCTCGCAAAAATTTGGGTAAGTTCTCGCTGCCACCACCCATTTAGTTACCGCGTGGGAACGGGATGTCAGTGTTGTGAGATGATGATAGTGTATGGGAAGAGTGTGAGGAATGAAGAGATGGGGAAAAGAAAGAGAGAGGGAGAGTGACATCCACGAGAAGTGGATGTCACATTGGTGGCCATAGAGTTCCACATAATTACCACTAAAGTACAAATGGAAAGAGAGTCATTGGAATAGGTCCAGGTGGTGGTCACCAGGGAAATCGAGGCCATTGACAACACAGGTCCGGTGAATGACATCTGAATTTGGATGAAGGGTGAAGGTGAGATCCACCTCAGCAGTACAACATTGTGCTAGTCAGTGACACCCTCGAGTTGTCTTGCATGCCGATATCAGGGAGCAGTGTAGCAGCTGTATCCTTCTTCATCTTCTCAGAGCCTGAGTTCACAAAACAAGTGAGAGGCTTACTGCTGATGATCAGAGTGATCAGTGCAATGTATACAGATGGTTCGAAATGTGAAAACGCTGTGGGCTTTGCAGCAGTGAGCAGGAAGGAGACTGCAATTGGCAGTCTTTCTTCTTTGGAGCCATTCTGTTGTAATATAACACGTTGCGAGGGATGCCAAGACCCATTAACGGTCGGACATGTAATGAAAGTAGTGTAGTGCAGCAT